GACCCAAGCCATAAAACAACACCTTCATATAAGTAACAAAGGCATTAGCAAAAAGGGTCAAAATCAGCTCTTTGAAAGCTCCAGAAGCCAAGTGTGGTGGCATCTGTCTATAGTCTCAGCACTTATGAGGCTGAGGTAGGAGGGGTGCCATGAGTTCAAAGCCAGCCTGGGCTACACAGTGAGATCCTGTTCCAAAAAAACAAAAAGAAAAAAGAAAAGGCCCTAGAAAATGAAAAAGAAATTGAAAGATAGCAGCTACACAAAAAGCACTTATTCAACACAAATACCTTGGTAAACTGCAGCATTTGAACTTGCCCTGGTCCAGTCTCTGTCCCTCATTCTCATCAGTGGCCTTTAAAAGTAGTTACCTGGTGACCATGTGGGCTGTGAAGACAGCCACTAACCCCCACCCCTGGGGGAAGCAGGAGAGGTCTGGGATTCCACAGAAGCTCACACCCAGAACTCTGCGCACCACAGGCTCATCCCTCCTTTACCTGACTCAGAGCTCTCTGTGTATGAGCAGCCCTGAGGCATTTGTCAAAAACAAGAGTGGCAACTGCCACTTCACAGCTACCTGATATAGCAACAGCACAGGGCTGACCAAAAACTTCTGAGTTTTAGTTTTAAAGAAAAACCAGGGAATGAGATGTTTGTAGAAGGCTTTGCAAAGTTCTGACATATTCCTGAGGGTTCATGTGGCCAGAAGCATGTCCAGAGCACAGAAAAGACTTGAAAAGGCACAAAACTGTCACCTCTAGCTGACCCTGAGGTGGAAGGAAGCAAAGGCTAAGGTAGAGCTGAAAACCCCTGGCCGTACACTGAAGGTGGACACACACTCAGAGCCCTCAGAAAAGCCTGGGGACACGATTGAAGACGTTTGAGGAAGTCTCTGTCCAATCATCACCTTAACACCATGCTCACTCAGTAAGCTCCAAAAAAAGACAGAGATCTGCACCCAGCCCATTACAATCAAGCCACCAGAAGATAGGAAGATAACAGACAACAGCAGGAAGAAAGTTGAGTCCTCATGCCCCAGAGACCATGCTGAGATGAGCCCAGGAAAAAAGGACTCCCCCCCCCACCGCCGCCACAAAGCATCACCATGGTAACAGCAGTCACCAAAAGTCATCACCCATCCGAGACACAGGAACCCCAAACAGGGATCCCTGAACTACGAGTGCTCTTCAGAACTTGGTCTAAGAAGCTTTTGACTTTTCCCAGCCCTAAACAACCTCTACTACTTCAGTGATGGGAGAAAGAGTATCTTTTGCCATATTTTCTTCCATAAGAGAGAAATGTGTTTCCATAGTTTTTCTTCTAGTTTCTACTGCTGGTTTCAGAAGCTTAACGATGTTTTCAAACTCTCCTCTCTCCGTATTTCCCTAGGAACCTCGGTTAGGTTCTGATACTGTCCAATTGATACGCCTTATTGGATTCCCACTTCACATTCTTCTACAGCTTTGCTTATGGGGTCTCCCATAGTGAAGGGTGTCAAATCTGTGGGTTTGGGTTCTGGCAAAACGTCTATGATTCAAAAGGAATTCTGAACAACTAATGATGTTCTGATTCTAACCAGGAAACACCTGCTCATCGCTCCTCCTTTTAACCTAGATGTGATTTCACTTATTATTGTCCTGCCTGCCTGTTTTACCTCGCATCCTCTTACTTTCCCATAGAGACCCAGCTGCATAAAATACCCATGCATATTTTCCAGAGGTAAATACAAAATCCGGTTTCCTGCCTTAAGGAAATCCTCAAGTCATCTAATAGTGCTCAACATACCCTCTCCTTACCTTTTCATTTTTTCCATGTCTGACATCGCATAATCCTGCATCTTTAGAGATAATCTGTCTATACGTATTACTAAATATTTGCCAACAACTTTAAGGAGTGCTGAACCTCAGTTACCTTTAAGGAAATAATTCCACATACCACCTGTTATGGTTGACACATTGTGTCAATTTGAGGAGTCTAGAGGCTTGGCTAAATGACTCAGCAGTTCTGCATCTTGGGGTGAAAAGGACACGCCCTTACCCAGCTGGGATGTTGTTCATTGTGTCAGTTTGAGAAGTTTAGAAGGTTAACCGTGTGACTCAGCAGCGGGCCAGGGTCCTCACCTGGTATTCCTCCTGAGCCTGTGCAAGACAAAGGCACGCGGAGGGTGTGAGTACAGAGGACCAACTCCCCAACACCCCCTACCCCCCCAACCCCCAACCCACTGCTGTGGGCAGGTAGGCTGCATACAATAAAAGGGAATTGAGAAAGGACTGGCTGCCGGTTCTTCAGAGAAGCTCCTCTTCGCCTTCAGCTTAGTCATCTCCTGACTTCTGGTGCAGACTGTTCGGCTTCCACCTGGGACTCTTCAGCCTTCTGGTGTAGGCTCTCCAGCTTTCCTCACAGGTTCTTCAGCATTCCATCACAGACCCATCAGCCTCCTGACACGGACTTGCACAGACACTGCAGTGAGCTCCAGGCCTGGGACTGAGCTCTTCAATCTCCAGCGTGCAGACACCCTCTGCACACTTCCTCATCCAGCACTGTAGCTGACCATTGTAAGCCAAACTTGTAATTTTTTGTACATTTGTATATTTTATGTTATATCTGTTTCTCTAGTAAACCCTGACTCATACACCACCTTTAAATTCTCTCTTCCCTTCTTGTATTTCTTAATTCCCAGTCATTCCTCTGGATATAACAGCAATTGATAATAACATTTCTCCTAGACTTACCTTTTAAAACAATTTTATGACTACCTAGTCCAGGCTCCATTATTAAAATGTCTTAAAGTTGGAAAACACCCATCTCCCTTTTGATATCTCCCTAAATTGTCCTCTAAAATTACCAACTTTATTCCTAAAAAATCCCTCCCACTTTCCAAGTTAGTGAACTTATTATTTGTATCATTCTACCCGACTGTCCTTTTCAAATCTCAAAGCCTAACCTTTAAATGCATGCTTACCACATTGCCCATTTTTCTTTAAGTTTATGTAAGCTTTTATCAAGTATCTTTTGTTCTTTCTTAAAATTTCTTATTCCTTTTCTTCACTCTCAATTACTAACTTCACTGTACATTTCAATAAAAAGTGTGAAAACAACGAAATAAGATTCTCACCATCAAATCTAGGACTGTTGCTTGATTTTGAAAAATTTTTAAAAAGCAAAATTTTTCCTCTTTGAACAATCTCTTTCCCACAAACACACACATGGAAACACATAGCCTCCCCCAATTATAAGGAAAAGAAAAGGTTTCAATACATTTTAAAGTTATAGACACATTCCTGAAAGCTGTGAAGTGTTTTCAAATGCCTTTGGTCTCTGGCCACTTGAGTGTGCTTAAGGAAGAAATCTCACCTTGAGTCTGAGATATGGCATTACTAATGGAGGTTTGGGGAATTAATACAGCAACCTTGGACAATTTCAACAAAGAAACTTATTTATGTGCAGGCAAAAAAGTTCACATTTAACTTTTTATAAAAGACTAGTTTGATTTAGAATATACAAACATGGGATTGTGAAACTGCTACAATTCATCTTTAAAGATTTTGGATCTTGCAACACATAAAATCTGTCTATTTTCAAAAAGCAGTGAGAGTTTTAGAACAAGATAGGCAGTTGGCATTTAGGGTCAGATAAAAACAAATTTTAATTCAGACCAACTTCTAAAATCCTTTTAAGCATCAGTAAAAAATAGGATGAAACTAGTAAGCCTGTTGCCAATAGGAATAACTACTGTATTCTAACAGTAATATAACAGTAAAAAACACTTAAGTTCTTAACAATGTTCAGTGTCTTGGAAATGAAGACATGTAATTCTCTATGGTGAAAATTTTAATCTTGTTGGTAGCACATGATTGTTTTTACCAAAATATAAAGGCTTATAACCAACAACTTCTTTAAATATGACTATAACGCAAACATAGAGATAAAAGCCATGTTTATTTCAGCAAAACAACCTTCAAATGTCCAGAGATGAATAGAATGATTTGAAGACATAATTTGCTGAAATTATAATCTTTACTAATGATATACTATTCAACCTTTTGTCCTTAAACTTGGAAATATGTATATTGAAAACTGGGTTAAATAATCCTAAATTATTGCAGGCTGATCAGGCCTGCAATCTCCCAAGCGAGTGGATGGCAAAGGCTTAAATAAATCAGACAATTGTAATGATTTCAGGGCTCCCGGAAGGACTAACTCTCTTACAACTTTAATATTGTCTGAGTTTTGCCCAAGACTTCTTGGGCAGCCCGTATCTATTTGGTTTACAAACAAAGGAGGAGGATACTCAAAAAGCACGGGAATGTGGGCAGGACTTTTCCAAGTAATACATTATGTTAATTTAGGAGAACTATGTTATCCCCAGGAAGGCCTTCACAGCAGGAGTGAGATGCTTGCAGCTACAGTCTCCTTTAATTGGGGTTGGAGCCAGACATCCTCAGCTGCAGCCTTCAGACAACTCACAAGTAAACACAGAAAGCCAATTGGTTAATATTAAATCCTGCTTGGAGCCACTTTGTAGTGGTCTCCAACATATATATAATGAATACACACAGGTATTATTTTTGCTTTCATAAGTAAATAATTAATAAAATCCTTTCACAGCTAACACTGGATCCTTCTTCTTTTTTCTTTGGCAATCATTTGGGAGGTAAAATGCTTTCATGACCAAGCGCTCACCTGTAATCCCAGCACTAGAGAGGTCGAGGCAGGAAGATCACTGCAAGTTCAAGGACAACCTGGGCTACAAAGTGAGTTCAAGGCCAGCTTGAACTGCATAATGAAACTCTGTCTCAAAAAGACTAAAAAAATGCTTTCACGTCTTAACTCATATATGAGTTCCTCTTTTAGCAAGAACTTTCAAGTTGGGTAAAAACAAAACAATACTTTCCTGTACACATTCCAAGAAAAAAAAACGAGGGAGAAATGGACATGAATGATTTCCAATTTCTCTGGCTTTTCTGAATGATCACTGTGAGGCTTATGGATAAAGAACCACATTTCATTCTTTTAAATGTTTACTAAAAAGAATATCACCAGGCAAAGGAAGTGGTGCAATGGACTACATAGGCAAATGTTCTTAGCTTTTGACAAGTCACCAGGATGGGGCGTTAGTTTCTCCTCAAACATGGTTTCCCTGCTGTTAAAATGTCCATGTGCAAAGTGCAAGCCCACGGTTGAAGAAAAGACATCAAATAGACAGAAAGGTGTTTGGGTTGAGGTGTTGGTTGCTACTCCCAGGTCATCTGAAAGACACAGAAAAGCAGGTAACAGAAAACTTCCATGAGCTGTGATCTGGCCACATGGCACCCCCACACACACTGGTTTTCATGGGACCTGGCACATGGGGGTGCTGTGCTTGGTTTCAGGGCAAGGCAAGGACCTAGGGCCTGTGGCACTAGGTGACAGTCACCCACAGACAGCAGACTGTCATGTGCCTCTCTGCAGGTACCAATGCAGAGCACGGTCGGTCCTGAGCATGTCTCAAGTGGCTCAGTGCTAGTGACCACCACATTTTGGGGATCTGAAACTGTCCTCTGCTGCCTCCTGCCCCTCCCTCCACCCCCTGCTCTCCCAGCTTTGACTGTGCTAAAACACACGGCTTGTGTGAGTTAGAATGGCCAAGTCATACTGGCTCCCGGGGTGGGTGAATCATTAAGAAGGAAAGGTCTGCCGCAGGTAGCAACACTATACTAATCGTCCCAGAAAACATCCCTCCCCTTCCCGTCCTACAATCAGGTACTACAGGAAGGAACTCCAGAGGAAATGCATTTTCAGCAGCTTTCTAAATTTAAGTCTGGCCATCCAAATATGAAATTCTCAGTCTTAATATTCTGTTGGCATACCTCTTTCACATAAAATGGGGAAAAGTGTATAATTTTATTTTCATTCGTCTCATGATCCTTTTCAGCCTCAGAAGGTTGCTCTTCACAACACAGCTGATATTTTGTTTTTGTGGCATTTGTATGTCTTCTGGTCCCTGAGTCATGTGTATCTGAGCTCATTGTCCCAAGGTTAATGGCTGAGGGGACTCCTGTGGCTCAGGACTTTGTTCCTGGGATAGCTGTTCCAAAGGCAATTGTCCAGGAGATTTTGGCATCTCAGATCTTTGTCCTTGGGATGGTTTCTCAGAGGACAATGGTTCAGGAGATTCTGGTGTCTGGGATCTTTGTCCTTGGGATGTTTTTGCAGAGAACAATGATTCAGGAGATTTGGGGGTCTGAGATCTTTGTCCTTGGGATGATCTTGCAGAGGACAATGGTTTAGGAGATTTGGGTGTCTTGGGTCTTTGTCTTTCAGATGGTTTCTCAGAGAACAATGATTCAGAAGATTTTGGTGTCTGGGATCTTTGTCCTTGGGAAGTTTTTGCTGAGGACAATGACTCAGGAGATTTTGGTGTCTTGAGTCTTTGTCCTTGAGATGTTTTTTCAAAGGACAATGGTTCAGGAGACTGTGGTGTCTCGGGTGTTTGTTGTTTCGATGTTTGTTCAGAAGATGACCTTTCGGGAGGTTGTGGTGTCTCAAGTCTTTGTTCTCCTTGTGTTGGTGACAAATGTTCTTGTGTTCGCAGTTCCACTGGTGTTGGTCTTTGGGCTTCTATTTCTACTGGAGTTTCTCGTAGTACAGATGTATTTTTTCCCTCTAGAATGTCATATTGTTCTTTTTCTTGTTTACAGTAAACAAAATAAAACACAATTACCAATAAACATTAGTGGCCTACTAACCAACTGAAATACATGACAGAAGAAAAATGTCCCTGCTATATCAATGACTGGGCAGTGACTGTGGTCATCTGAAATTCTCACAGTGTCACAGTGTCCTTTCAAATATGTTCCCCTTTTACTCTCGCGTAGAAATATGATCCCAGAAAAGCATAAAACAGATAGAGAGAAGCTGGATTTAAAGACGTGTCACTTGATATTAACAGATACGAGCCAGTAACCATTTAAAAACTGACAAGCCACAGGACAGACTTCCTTTTCCTCTGAGTCCCTGAGATGGGGAAAGTACTTTTATTACGATTAAAAGAGGAAGAAATCAGGAGACAGGAGCATCAGGAGCCAGCGTTCTACAGAAAGCCACCAAAGCACAGAAAGCGCCCTTCGGGGCTCAGGAAGACCACTGGTGTGTACAGTACTCGCCTTCCATACCCCAAACCACAGGTACTGAGGCCAACACCATCCCTACCTAGATAAGGGCCCCTGGGCAGAGGAAATCCAAAAACCTCCTCCTGATACTCTGTCCCTCGGTGTGCACGTCTGGACCCCATGATCTTCCTCCCAGACAGTTGTCACCTCCTTTTGGCCATGCTGCCTGGGTCCCACTTCACCATCCAATGAGGACAATCTTGTGAATGCCCCTCCTGCTCTCTGGTCACCCACTGACAAGTGAAACCATGCCTTTGGTCACACCGTCTCCCCACTGTAACACTACCCAGTGCACGAAGACCAAACTCTCCCCAGTGACAAACAAGAGCGTGGTTGGGCAGGGCTCCCGCACTGGCTCAGCTCAGAGCCCAGGTCAAAGGCGGTAGCATCACAACACCAAGGTCCCCAAGTTGCTGTATGAGAGAGAGAGACGGCTCGGAAAGCCCAGCCCACCATGCTCTTTCTGAGCACACGGAGGAAACTGGTGTCACTGGAGCCACTGAGATGCAAGCTTGGTATTCTGTGTCCCACTCAGCCTCTCTGGCAGACAGGGGATCAGGAGCTGACCATTGGCTCATTTCTGTCTTCTTCGCATATGCTTCTTTACAAGCACATACACACACAGACACACACACAGACACAGATACACACACACACACACACACACACACGTTCCAGCCTCATTAGGCAAGCTACGTCTCTGCAAAGGCACCGTCCCCTCCCCATGCACCTGGGCATTTGATTCCTCCACCCACCTCCCCTCCAGTCCATGGTCCGCCTGGCCACTGCTGGCCAGCCCTTCTCAGTTCCCTCCATTGCTGCTCCCAACCCCTGCATCCCCTTCTCTGTGCAGCTCCTCACTCTAGCATCCTGCATGTCCAGGTCCCCCTGCATCTCCACACACGCACACCCCGTCTGTCTCCCCACAAGGCCGTGAGTGCCTGAGCATAGGCGCACAAGCACTGCGGCTCCCTCGCCATCGTTTCTCAAGCACCCAGCTGGCACGCAGGAGAAGCCAGAAAATGTTTGATAAATGAAAGAGTCCAGGACTGAAGAAAGCGGAAACCACCACCACCCAAGCGCCACATGCACACAGCACCCCTAGACCCACACGAAACAGAACAGGCGAAATTCAAAGTGAAATATTAAGATATGAAAACGCGTTTAGACAAAGAGCATACTAATATACATAAGACATATTACAGAGAAGAGTAACAATATCTGTGCTATATTAATACGTTAATTTTAGAGAGAATTTTTTTTAAAACAATAAAAAAGAAACAGAATTTTAAAACAAGCTGAACAGAATTTTAAAACAAACAATGGTTATTATATTGCGTACTTTTATCTTCAAAGTAGCTGCTCAGATTGCCAGATATGGGCAGGCAAAACTGATCTGACAATATAAGCACTACATGTTCCTTTCAGTGAACTAACAGGAATTAGGAGCACAATTATCTTAGCTATACTGTGTGTGCATATATATATTTTTCCCCTTCTTTCTGGTTTCAAAATTCCCAAGTTCATCTGCCTTCCCCGTGAGCTGCCGGTATTGAGTTCCTCTGGTTCTGTGCTTTCTTCTTTCAGGACTCAATGCACCCCCCAACTGCCTTGCAACCCAAGGCAGAGCACCCCAGGATACCTGCGTTCCTCTCAAGCCTCCTGTCTGAAACTTCCTGAAATCACTATTTTCCAGAGCTGTATTTTTCTCTGCCCTACCCGCTGGTTTATAAAATACCATAAGGGTAACTAGGTGCAGTGAAACGTTAAAATTGAATAATAAAAGATCTGCCTAAGTGCAACGACTGACTCAGCAGCTCATTCACCACTGGGAAAGGCAAAATATTCATTTGTCAGCTGACCTAAAAGCTGCCATACAAAACATGGCTTAGAGGTCTCCGCATGTAGTTCTAAGCATGTAGTTCATTCAAAACCAAAGGAACCTCGTGGAAGGCTGCGGGGGACAGAAAGGCTGGCAGACACCCAGAGTGGGCCAGGAATAAAGTGTGGCCTTCCCAGTGGGCGACTCATGGGTGGACAGAGTAGACACAGAGAAGCTACCATCAGGCCTAAGATGCCACGCACCCATGAACGACAGAGATGGCATATGCTCTTACCAGGAAGCGGAACCACTTTTTTATTCTTGTTGAAGTTCTTGAGAGATGCTGAAAAAAGAAAAATCCAAACATCAATAATTTGACCCAAGGCTTCCTCTATGATGAGATTCTAATGTAAAATCTATGGCTAAAAGAATCACTGGAATGGGAGATCATTCTAACTCATTCAGAGAGAAGTTAGGGCCAACTGCTGGCCTCGTTAACAACGCAGTCGTGCTTTTCTTATGCACAAATCCATGCCAACATGACTGCACTTCCTGAGATTACAGGGCAACCGGAAGCATGTTGATCTTCTTGCTTTTCTTCCCCATGGAGAAAAGTGGATGTTACTTGAGTTAGTTATTTAGGTATGTGTTTTAGCATCACAGCAGGATGTTGGTGGCAGGTGGTGGCATTTCCTTCACCACCCTAGAGGCAGCGGGTCACAAGGTCTCTCTGGCTGGACTGCTGGATGGAGTCTGCAATCAGAAAATGTAAACTTGCTGTGTTTAAATAGCAGCTGCTTCTTGGAAACCTCAACATTAAACAGCAATTGAAGGTGAATATCCGCTCTAAGGGAGGAAAACTCACACACTGGTGGAGAGTGTAACTCACACCAGCACTTCCCAAGAGGGCACCACCACGAGGACACACAGGTGTGACACAGATAAATTCAACAACAGTCTTCTCCAGATCCAGGCCACTTCAAGTCCCACCCAACAGCTCTGACTTGATTTCAGGGGTTGGGAAGAGTTTACAGGGTCCTCCGCCCTGTCACCAAGCCAGCTAAAGATACCGATTCCACTCTCTGCATTCGTAGTGCATCTGAGTGTCCACGCTGCTGCCGACACAGCTACCACTTCTGTGAAACTGAACTCAGAAGCCAAGAAACCAGGCCGACGCTGTGCAGAACACCCAGCATTGGCAATGAGACGCAGCGCAGGTGCTTGAGCAAAGTGCAGCCACTGAGGCAGGAATCTGAGAGGCCCACAGGACATTGGGCTGCAGATATTATACCTGCGGGGGGGGGGGGCTAAAAACTGGAGTAGAATGGAAATGTATACTACTGTAGTACAAATACTGTAGAAGTCAGTGCAGAGGTTCCTCAAACAGAGCTAGAAATTCCATTTGACCCATCTGTGTCTCCCCAAAAGAGTTAGAGACATCATATCACAGTGACCCATGCACACCCGTGTTTACAGCAGCACGATTCCTAATAGCTACATCTTGGAAGCAGCCTGTATGCCCATCAACAGACGAGCGGATAAAGACAATGTGGTATTTATACCTAATGGAGTACTGCTCAGCTATAAAGGAAGATAACTTTGAGACGTGTGTAGGAAAATGGATACACTTGGAAAATATTAAGTGAAATATATCAGAGACACACAAGTGTATGTACTGCATGGCATCTCTCATTTGAGTCAGGCAAAGTACAAATAAAGAGCAAGATAAAGGAAACAGGGAGCTAGAGCTTTTGCAGATGGGAAGGGATCCCAGGGATGGACGGCAGGGAAGAAGGGAGGAGAAGTAAGAAGATTTAAGATGTGTCGTGAACAAGTACCAAACCCACAGTGAGTGTAAACATTGTATGTCGTAAACATGAACTAAAAATAAGAGCAGCAATAAGAATGAAGGCCGGGAAAGTGGCTTTAGAGACAAAAGGAGGGAGGTACCCAGGTGGGAAGGAGAAAGAGATTTAAGAAGACCTAAGTCGTGTAGTGTACATGTACCCACTCCCCAAGGTGAAAGCAGACTTCCTATACCACCACCATCTCGTCATAAAACAAAAGTGTGAAATAGAAATGCACATATATCACATAAATTCAAAAAATAAGAGGAACAAAAGAAAATTTTAAAATAAAAAGAACAAGCACTAAGGGTTGAAAAGAAGGCAGGGTTTGATTACAGCCATGGAGGTCAGAGGTCACCAAGGGCCAGATGTGCCCTACAGCTGGGCAGCTGGAAACCCACTCGCCCTACACTGAACCTGAGCGTGGTCTGGACATGACCAGAGTGTGGATTTAACACTTAGTTTAAAACCTATGCTTTTATTTGCACTTATTTTTGTGACGGCTGTAACACTCAGAAGCTGCCAGGTATGAATTAAGACATCAGGTTCAAATGTGTGGCAAGAAATCCACTGTGCCGGTTGAAAGTATGTTTAGTGAATGAGAATCCAGAAGCCGGAAGTTTACATAGCATTTGATTTTTTTAATAAGGTAGCTATTATATTACCTAGGCAACTGATTTCTCTTTGAGCTGGAACATCCTTCAATAAATCAGGACAGGCATTTACTGAGTCCTTATAGGGAATCGCAGTTACATCAGAAAGCATCTTGCATTCACTAAATCTTTGCCGGTGGTGTGAACGCACTCCTGACCAGCCAGGTCCTAATTCGCTCTCCTGTAATCACAACATGTGTTTTATTCTTAGAACAGTTTTATTTTCTGTATTCAAAAATGTTCACCATAGCAGTATTTAGAAGACACGTGGCGGTACAGTTTATAATGGCTGAATCCTGGAAGCAGCCTATATGTCCATCAGCACATGTGGATAAAGCGAATGTGGCGTCCATACATAGTAGAGGACTACTCTGCTCTAAAGAGAGGTCAGCTGAGTCATCTGTGGGAAAACAGGTGCACCCCGAGACCAGAACGTTAAGTAAAACAATCAGACACACACGCTTCAGTATCACTGGGCTCCTCATAAATGAGAACCCCAAAGTGTAAATAAACAACAAAACCAAAAGATAATAGGAAGTAGGGAGACCTTTTGCAAAGGGGAACAAGAGATGGAGACAGGGAGGAAAGAAAGAAGGAGGAGGAGGAAAAAAGAATTGGAAAAAACAGAAATGGAGCTTTTGCAACTGAGAAAAGGAATAAGAATTAGAGGAAACAGAAAGGGATGGGGGGACCAAAAAAATGAGAGTGTATTATGTACATGTGTGAATTCCCCACAATAAATGTAGTCATTATGTACCGTAAACAAGTACTAGTAAAAAAGGGAAAAAAGAAAACAGAGCAAAGCAAAATAAACAGAAATAAATGTAAAACCTAAAGCCACTGCTTGCTATAATAAGTTATGGCATGAATTAAACCCACCTATGAGGACCAGAAACAACCCTGACTTTATAGGCTGACGATCAACTTGTAGATTGCTGTGCAAACGCTGTATATGCTTTTCAGATTTTCAGTACGCATTTTGGGGGTAGGGATGTAGCTCAATGGTACAGCACTTATTTAAGGACAGTTGCTAAATAAGTACACATCACACCTTCCTGGTTACTGACAGCTTCTCCCATCCACTGGGAGGAGGACCACTCCTGCATCCTGTGTCCATGGCAACCAGGCAGGCAGAGGAGATGGGCTCTCTGGTCATGAGGGAAGCTGCCTTATAGACACAGTCTGTGCTATCATCACTAAGAGACAATTTTCACAAAACTGTGGAAGGTCACTGAGGATTATTTACTGTAGCAGACAGAAGAGAGGTTCCTATACATCACATGCCACACAGGAAATGAGTGAGTTCTGTTCCCAAAGAGAGAACAGCAATTTGGGATTCTCGGGAAAGGTTTCCAGTTAGTGATAAGGAAAATATCGAAGGAGAAAGCAAGAGAAACGAACACTTTTCTCTAGAACGGTGTCCATCTTATTCCTTCCAAAGGCACAAAGACTCCAGACTCAAAGCTCAAACAACTCCCAAGCAAGTCCAACTCAGAGTCCACAGTGACCCCCAGCCCTTGGCCTGCGCTGTGGTCCCCAGCACGCTCCATCCATCCCACGTGACCTCTGCGTGTCACCAGCACAGAGGGGGAACAGAGAGGACAAAGAGATTCACAGATGCCATGCGAGTAGGAAGCGCAGGGTGCATGTGGGCCTCATCTTACCCACGAGGACGTGGGGCCCCTGCAGCTGGCCTGTGCTGACGCAGCCCCTCCAGAGCAGCTCCAGGGCTACTACCAGGTCTTTGGGGTGTAGGGTCAGGGCTTGCTCTCCTTTGCACCACGTCGGCGTCCTAAGCATCGTTTTATACCTAAGTAAGAGATCACAGAACGTCACTGAAGGGAGCTTCCAAAAAATCAAAATCAAAAGATAATAAACCCCTCCGATAAAAACACTCAGAGTTCACAGAATCAAAAGAAAGACCAGCTAGGTAAATGATGACCTACTGAACACCCAGGACACCACACTGATGCCCTTGGGGACACAGGGGCCTCTCCACAGAGAGATCGGAGCTGGAGCTTCGCCTGATAGTGCACTGGGCTCATTTAGGGTGCAGAAGGGTGTTTAGCTGGGAAATCAACTGCAGAGCTCCCACCCTCCCCGGAGACTAGGGCTGCCCTCCCCAGCTGAACCGCACTGGCCTCGCCGCATCTAAATCAGCTTCTCTACAGCAAAAGCAGCTACACCCTCTAGCTGCAGGGTCGTGCCTCAGAAGTAGAGATCAACTTAGTTTCACACTACAGTGCAAATGACTGATAGTGGTGCCCAAAAGCCCCCTGAGAAGAAGAGAAATGGGTGGGCAAAGGCTCTCAAAAGGGCAGGGGGCTGGGTTCAGGGCACCCGAAGGCTGAAGGCCATGACACCCAGTGGTTCTCTGCCCTCCTTGTGACCACTCTCATGAAAATGGAGAGGAAGCAGAAAAGTCCTTGTTCCTAGAAGTGAAGCTCTAGGAAGCTTTCCTCAAAGCTCTAAAAGGAGAAGGGGAAAACTGAGCCCCTGCGGCCCACATCACCTGGAGCTGGCTGCTGTCCTAAGGGAAGGAAGGCTGTCACACAGCACGGAGGAGAAACCCCCAGTCCAGCGGTGCTGTGGACCCGAACTGCCACCTCCTGCCCATCGGGCTTGGATGGTCAAAAAGGCACGCAAATGCAGGAGCATTAAAAAATGAGAAAAATCTGCTTCGTAACAGTTCCTCAGCTACCTGACTGGCTAATGTCATAGCACCGAAGAAAAAAAAAAGACACAACGAAGCCTTACTGAAGGGAGATCTGGCCTGAAGAGGCTCCGTCTGGGAATTCTACTCTCAGCCATGAAGGAAGGGGAAGGGAAGAAGGTGCCCTCGCAGAAAAGCAGTCGTGACACTGTGGGTGTCGCAGCCTGTGCCTGAGACCTGGCCACAGAAACTGAGCACTTCTGGAAGCAAAGCCAGTGAAAATCTCACTGGAAGAAAGACTGGTCTTTCTCTCTCTCTCTCCTCCTCTCTCTGTCTCTTTCTCTCTCTTTCTTTTATCCCTGACCTGTGCCCCTCCCCTGCTTCTTAATTCCCAAAAACAAAACTAGCTGCAATGAAACAAGGCCAACAAGTATTCCCAGTGAGCTACAGAAAACCTTTTGCTGCCCTGAATTAAGCTTTGGGGATTTAACATTGCTTCCTTCTCCTGGAAAAATAGAAACCCGCAGACTCTCACGATATCTATGAAAGGCTGAGGTAGTCTGCAAACTAAAGGTGGAACCAGTGGGAATCTCAGGACTGTAAGATCTGCCTCCCCAGGACGGGTTAGAGTTGGTGGCCACTAACAGCTCCAATCACTCAATGAGAAGACAGCCTTATAGCCTTGGTAAGTAAGGTGTGGAACGGGTTTGTTCCTTTTGTTTTGTTTTTTTTTTTGTTTTGTTTTGTTTTGTTTTGAGACAAGGTCTATCTATGTAATTCAAGCTGACCTTGAGCTCACTATGTAGCCCAAACTGGCCTCAAATTTGCAGCAATCTTCCTGCCTCAGCCTCCTGAGTGCTGGGATTACACACCCAGCTCCAGATAAATCTTTGACTGGGCCACAATTTCTGGCTGAACTAAGAGCTGCTGTGGGCACTAGGAACGAAGAGACTGCAAGGCTCACCAAGAAACCCAGCACCTGCTCAGGGCACCCAGTGCCCAATATCACGGGGGGCCCATAAGGCCGCACAGGCGAGGCACCCCAAGAAGGAACTTCCGCTGAATGTCCTTTGTCCTCTGTCACCACTTTTCCTCTGAAAAATGGGAGCGATCACCTGGCAAGGTTGTTGCCACACAAGTGAAAACCAACAGGAAATGGCTATGGAGGCATTTTATCACACGTGCACGTTTTTAAATGTCTGAGCAGCTGTTTCAGTATGTGTTTTCCTTGGGCTCCAGAAAAAGATGAAGAACTGAGGTGAAGGGCAGCCGAGATAAAGAAGGGTCTGGGGCTCTTTCTCCCCCGAGGCAAAGGGGCACTGCAGACTCCCTCAATTACAAACCAGACAACAGAAAGAAAGGGAGGTGGTGAATGAGACGCAGTTCCAACAGTGAACGGACTCTTGGCGAGACTTACATGTGTTGCCCGGTGAGTTCTTTTCTGGTCACTAGGTGGCGCTCTGGGGCGCAGAGGTACTTCTCCAAAGGGACGTCAATCCCACCTTCGTATTTTAATATCTGAGGCATCCACTTTATAAACCTCTTTTCTTGAAAACAAAAAAAGCTTCTCTGATAATCTTGTTGTTACTCATTACACAGAAGGGTGGTTTTTCTCTTACGTTACCAAGGGGAGTAGAAAATCAAAAGCAAACACCCTCAGCACTCAATTATATTTCCCAGCATTCGGAGGAAAGGATTCAACTACTGACTGGTGGAATACAATTATAATAAAACTGTGAAATGAAAATCCAAAACAGCATACTGTCGCGCAATGTCTGCAGTAAGTCCGTGTCTCTCAACCTGCCTTCTCTCAGGCCACAGAAGAGTAAGACTAAGAAAGGTCATCAAGAGTTCTCGCTGTCACCTTGGCCCCTGGAGTAACTACGTGTGAGTCCTTGCAACCCAAATGCTGCCACCACTGCACGCAGAGCCCCTGCCCTCCCTGCTTCTCAGCGCCCCTGACCCAAGTACCCTCTGCTTCCCCTGATGGCCTTCCTAACGCTTCTGATGATCTCTTCCTGCAAGGTTCTCCTTGGGCTCATCCAGGCTCGTTCTGACCACGTGCAAACGCTAAGAGAAGTCAGTAATGCACTGTGTTCCTTCCTCACCAGCAGGAACACTTCCAAAGGGTCTTTACACTTTTGCAAAGCACCTTCCCGAGCAGGAGCTACTTTAAGACTGTCCTAAATTAGGCTCCTACTCTTCGTGGATAATCTGTCATATCAGAAAGTCACATACACGAAAAAAACTTTGCTCAACAGCTTTTCAAACTACAAATGCAAAAAATATATGATTCTCAGTAAACCATTGTAAGAAAATTCAGAAAAGGAATTTACAATTTGGTGACATTGCTATAGGGTTTAGCGGGGCACAGAGGGCAGGCTGGGAAGGAAGTAAGAACTTTTTTCTACAACGTGTTCTCAGTATTTTAACTAACTCAAGAGACATGCTTAAGCTGTTGTACATGTGCTGTTAACTGTGGGATCTTACAAGTATTCTCACCTGTGGCTGGATTACTACACACTATACACATTTCTATGTCTTCGACATCTACATGACATACCTTTTTTCTTTGTGTTGTGTCTTAAGGGAAACATTTTCTTAAAAGACACTCGTGAATTGTCTCCCTGAAACAGAAACCAGCAGGGTTAGCAGCTGATACTTTAGCCTTGGAACATGGACCAGAACTTTCGGCTACCAGTGGGCACTGACGTGAGATCTGCTGGGAGAATTGTGCACCGAAGCTGTCGACAAACTCGGCAAGGACTTGCCATGCACAGAAAAAGGGACTAGGGAGTCACCAAGCTCCTGGCCACAGCAAGGGTCAGGCTTTGGCCAGACGGGGGCCAGACAAGACATATGAAGCTGGCCAGATCACTGCTGTCTGGACAAAGGATCCAGCCCTAATCTGCTGGACCTGATTCAGGTTAGTTCAGCAAACCCAGCAGGACCAGGACCCAGGTACCTAGTCCACACTGACTCCTGCAGGTAGAATCACATTTCCTGTCAACAAGCATCCATCCCAGCATGTTATGTAGCAACCATGGTCTTGCCTCAACTTAAAAGGCAAAAAACTGGAGAGAAAATCAGTCTACCTGGAACAAATAAAAAACCAGATAACCTGCAAAATCATAACCTCAAACCCAGCAGAGAGGTGAGAGAGGTCGCCAAGCAACCGAGAAGCCTGAAGCCAGACCCATGCCAAGAGATGCAGGACAGAAGCCTGGCTTCCCAGGGGCGGGTGCAGGATGAAAGTGAGAGGGCAAGCAAGGGGGTCAAGAAGATCCCCACCAGGCCTTTTTGGGAGGATGGGCGGGCTGAGGACGGATGTGAGGCCACAGTGCATCCTCCACTGGGGACAACTCCACGCTGCTAAGAGAACAGCGTAGGCTGCCGCCAGACCCAGGGCCTGCTGAGAAGAGGATGGAATCAAGCCCTCCTCCTCGGGCCCAGCTCTGGGTGCAGGTCACAAGCGGCACCCTACTACTGCAGAGGAGGCAGACAACTAGGAAACTCGAACTCCAAGAGACAGGAACACAGCCCGCCACAATGCCAGGCTGAAAGGGGAGAGAAAGCCCACTACCCACCCACAAATGGGAAGCCAAGAGATGGAGGGAGCAGGGAGGGGAGGGACAGGGGAGGGAAGAAGGAACTCAGATGCGCTCTAGGCATGCACCACCTCCCCACAAGAAATGCACATAGTATGTACAGCAGACATGTGCAAATAAATAAAATGTTTAACACATTTTAATAATTTCAATGAAATTATTCTTAATTCCTCTGTCAGAGGTGAATAATGATGATTCTCAAACTCTTCCTGGATGTCTCGAATGGTCCATGAATCATTTTATTCACTGCTCACAACAGGCACATGGGGTCCCCTCACCCACACAGTGGAAAGGAGGAAGCCATCCCTGGGGAAAGTTTACACGGGCCTTCCTCTACCTCTGCTCTGTACACCTCCAGCAGCACCCAGAGCCCAGCATGGGCACAGTGCTTGAAGACCTCCTACCAAAAATTAACTTTCTTGTGCTATCAATTTGCTCATGTTCCCCAACCTCGCCCAATGCACTGCTGAGCTAATGGTGGTCTGTATATGCCAAGCCATCCACAGCACCATCCAGGGGCTTAGGGGCAAATCATTAAGTGGCACTGAGACCTGCCACTCTCCCTGTGCACTGGCAGTACAAAGGCAACAGAAAATCCTGCAGGTATCCAAGGACAAGCCAAGCCAAAGATCCAAACTAATAGTCACTGGATACAATACAGTACACTTGAAGTTCTGCGCGGTAAATAGGGTCACTTAAAATGTAATGGAAAGATAAAAATTATCACTGTTACTAAATATTGACCCTGGGTCTATGTCTCTTCAGTATTCTGTGGAAGGAATCAAGTAGTATCCATGAAGTGCTTCTGCTCCGCATCACAATAGCATGATCATTTCATGCATATACTTGACGGAGGAGCGAGCTGAGCTAGCCAGTTGTATCACGGAACCCTGTTGTATTAGTCATCTTTCCCAGTGCTAGACAGAATACCCAACACCCACAACTTAAAGGAGGAGAGGTTTAACTCGGCTCACAGTTTCAAGGGGTTTAGTCCATGGTCAGCTGCTTCAAGGGAGGAACATCATGGTGGAAGGGCATGGGGGAGCAAAGATGCTTTGATCATGGTGACCAGGAAGCAGAGAAGTGAAACAATGAGAGGAAAAGGCCAGGGATAATATATAGTACCCAAGGCCACATCTCCATGACCTACCATGACACACACAGAAATGTGCACCATCATTCTCCTAGGTGGATTCCAAGCCAGTCAAGTTCACAGTGGAGCTGCATCATCACAGCTACCCTACTTGAGCACAGGAGTAACTACATGTATTTATTCTTGGCTACATGGAAGACATTTATTTGAACAAAGTGAGGCTACAACAGTAATGAATAAAACCAAGTACCAAGTGTTTAGGCCTGATTATAAAATGTGAACATTCAAAACAGATCAAAATCTGCAATATATGCACATGTGTTTGATAGCTTCCCCAAACTAGAAGTCTTTTCTAAAGATATTGGTGGAAATACTAATGCATGTGACTTTTCAGTATTGTATAATACACTGTGTTAACATTTGCATAGCCTAATATTTTCCAAAATGACTAATGTATCACGATGCAAAAAATCATGCATGGGTAAAAATCCATTCAAAGTACAAGATATAGGGGCTGGGGATTTAGCTCAGTGGCACAGCACCTGCCTGGCAAGCGCAAGGTTGTGAGTTCAATTCCTGGTACCGGAAAAAAAAAAAACAAAAAAAAAGTACAAGATATAACAGTGAACATTAATGTAACAAAGACTAAAACTTCACAGATATAGTTTCTGATTCAGACTGCAACTAATCTTTAAGAAATTACCACTGTCAAGTTTTAGTGTAATACCACAGAATTTCCAAAGGTCAAAAAAAGCTATCAAAACATACTTCTTTCCATCCACTATTTGCATGAGGCTAGATTTTCTTCAGCTTTTCTTAATAAGGAGCAAGTGACAGCAAATCAATTTAGAAGAGAATGTCAGAACTGGCTGCCTTCTACTGGCCGAAAAGATTTGCTAAATGTAAAACAATACCTCTCTATTCCCAGAATGATGGTTTCTTGGGCAAAAATGGCTATTTGTAGTGCAGTGAATGATTTATTGCAATTATTTTTAAATACAGTGCTAAGTAAATCTTGCTAAATTTCTCAGTTTTAATTCCAAATGTAGCAGTTCTTGGTAGATAAATCCTAGAAGAGGCTCATATGGCCATCAACAGACAAATACGTAATGAAAATGTAATATGTATGCATGATGTATACTCTGCCATGAAGAAGGATAAATTTAGCTGGGTGTGGTGGTGCACCCCTGTAATCCCAGCACTTGGGAGGCTGAGGCAGGAAGATCACCATGAGTTTGAGGCCAGCCTGAGCTACATAGTGAATTCAAAGCCAGCCTGAACTACTACCTGTATGTCTCAAAAAAATAAAAACTGAAAAGAAGGGTAAACTTGAGTCATTTATAGGAAAATGGATGAGCCTGGAGACATAATGTTGCATGAAATAAACCAGACACATAGGCTTAAATATCACATACTTTCTCTTATGAGAAACCCAAAGTACAAGTAAAGAGCAAAATAAAAGACAGATAATAAGAAAAAGGGAGATAGATCTTTAGCAAAAGGGAAGAGGACCAAGGGTGGAGGGTGGAAGAGGAAGAGGAGAGGACGACCGGGACATAAAAGGAATTAAGAGGCATCGTGTCCACTCACCAACTCCACACAATGAATGTGAGCATTTCGTGCTGCAGATGTGGGCTCATAAAAATTAATTTCAAAAATCAAAAAAATAAAAGCAAAACACAGAGCTCTTTAGAGTCCTCAGTAATATCTACAAATGTAAGGAGTCCTTAAAATAATGTCTGAGAACCACCACTCTAAACTCTATCAAAATTTAATAGACAGAACCACAGGATTCATCAGGCATTCAGAGGACACAGATGCTGCCTGTGTCTTCGTTCCCACAGCAGCATGGTCAGTCCCATTCCCTACTCATATACCAAACTGCCAAGGCCTGAAACAAATGCGGCGACAAACTTCCCAGCTCACCATTTGCAGGATTTTTTCCAAACTAGGATTTTCTTCTTTCTTTTGGAAAAAAAGAAATCATCAGCTTCACCTACTTAGATACCAGCTCTTGGCTTAATTTTTCAAATCTGATTTCCATTTTTAATTGCCTATCTGCATACATCCTCAAAAGAGTGGGAGCTTTGCATATAAAATACACTGCATACCCCTCTGGCATGACCTGCCTGCCCAGCCGCACCGCTGCCCTCTGCCCGCCTTCAGACTCCAAGGAAAGCAGCGATTGGTAGAACAGGCACCCGGGTCCGCATCTCACTGTGTCTGCATCCAAACCTGGCAGGGAGGTTTGTCCTCCATCCTCGGAGACCTGGAGTTGACCCAAAGCCCTTCTATTGTGATAAGAAAATTAACAAAAGGGTTAAAATTACATTGTTGAGATCAACAAAGAGATGTTTCCATTTCCTCTCCACAGATGAAGGGATTAAGAAGAGCCCTTCCGAGGGGTGCTACAGCTCAGGAGTTTTAGATCCCAGGGACCCTGGGGCTTCCACAGGTGCCCTGGGGACAAGGAGCCACTACCCACCCAGCCATCAGCTGCAGGTGTGTGGAGCGCGCGGTACACGGGTGGCCCACAGTGGCTCGGTTGTGCTGAGAGCTGCCGCACTTTAGAATCATTTCCACCTAACCCTAAGTGCTCCTGCAGCTGGGGACCCCCTGTGCGCTCTGTGACTGCAGTGTTTACCAATGCATCCTCTTATATAAGCAACCCAGGTATAAATAAATCAGAGCAAGAGAAAAGATAGACAATAGCAGATAGGGAGCTACAGCTTTTGCAAAAGGGAAGGGAATCAAGAGATGGAGGGAGAGGGATGAAGGAGAAGGAAGTGGGTGGAGAAGAAAGATGTGTGATGTCCATTCGCCAACTCCTCACTAGGAATGTGATCGCTACTGTACTGCAAACAGGGACTCATAGAGAAATCAAAGGCAAGAAAAAGATTCTCATTTGTGCCACCACCTGATAAAA